AATTTCTAGATGGGAAATGTAGGGAATTTCTAGATGGGAAATCTAGGGAAAAACAGAATTAATTATAATACAGGCAGTCCCAAAAATATATTACTAACTTTAAATAGGCAGAAAAATGAGCTATTCTCTGAAATAATTTCTTTTTGCATAGACTACTCTTAAAACTAGCGAAGAGAAACCTCCATCTTAAAAACAAAAGTACATATGTTGCAAAAGCAATGCTCATTGTGGGTACTTGTTTTTGAGACACTATTCTTCGTTTGATGTAGACAATAAAATGAACGGGGCTTGCAAATAGATACTAAATAATTTGCATTCTTCGTGTTTTTCATATGAATAAATATTGAGGATTTTGCATTTACAAAAATGGACTAACTCAAATCCCTTTACCCCACAGTGTATATGCAATATACAAGTCAAAAACATAACCATGATGGTCTAAAGAGAAACAAATAATTACCCTACAATGAGAGAAAGTCACTGTAAATTGGACATCTTTGCCCAGAGGTGAAGGCACATCTGGATCGACAACTGGTGCTGCAACAGTTGGTTCACACTGATCCCAGAAGGTATATTGACAAAAGACAAAGTTTGAAAGATTCAGTGGTAGTCCCGTTGCTTCTTTGATTTTTACCTAGACAATTATGAAACATAAATTTAATAAACCAAAATATTTACATTTCTAAACAAGTATTTAGTTACAAAAATGCAGAAATATGTCTCCGATGGGAAAAACTATCACTCTTAATTAGCACAGTACTAGTGTTTTGATTCCAAAGGTTCTTCTGGTACTTCCAAAGGTACTTTTGGCACATTAGGATTCAGACATGGCCCTTCTCTGCAAATTATTAAAATGTTTATTTATTTTCCTGAAACTATGCAGCTGCCCTCCCAAGCTGTCATCTACAGCTGCTTTGAATGAGCTGCAGAAAATTGCTATGTCTGTGCTCCAAAACACTTTTTGACACAGAATCCAGATTGTTGCATGAACCTGAGATAGAAAGACAGAGAAGACAGGGGATCTGTGGGAAAGGATCAACTGATTACATATCAATTAAAAATGATCCCTAAAGCAAATGGACTCTCAAATTGGGGTTTGGGGTGTTTTTTGTTTTTTTGTTTTAATTCAGAGAACAGCAGCTTTTTCTAAAACTGATCGTGAAAGTGTTGTTTGAAATATGAATACATCTCCAAGAGAAAGAAATCAAAACTCTTATAAGAATAGGATTGGGAATTATTTCCAATCAAGGAGCTGAACTTGAGTTAACCCGAGAGGAAGTCACTAGAGGCTGCATACCAGTAGAAGGTAAGGCAACCATGAATATTCTCCCTGTTAACACATGCATGTTCACTCACAGACACATATTTCCAGCCCTACTTTCTCTATTCGCTCAGACAAAGCAGCTGAGGGAAATTTTTCCTTGCTCAGTTGTGAGATGAGTTTCCTTTTTCAGTTCAGGGCCAAAGAAACTGACTTATTTTTCAACCCTTTCTAAATGGTGACAGAGAGAAAATAACTTTGTCCCCATCCTACCCATTTGATTACAAAGCAGACAGAGCTTTTCTTCTATTTCAGTGCTATGGTCAGGGGCAGGGCCTAAGGAATGATGTGTGTTGGGCATGAATCTCTCCCCCACCCAAAGTTTCATTTTGTCTCTTGTCTTCAGCACAGAATACAACCGGTCAGTACAGAATACAAACTGAAAACCTCTCATTAACAATTTCCATGTAACTGGCAATTAGCAGAACATAACTCGGATATAGATTTAACCCTAGAAAATGTAACTGGAAAACCAGTACTTTCCAGAGCATAAATGCGGAAGGAGCCGCCCTGTCTTTGGGAAGCAAGCATTCCAAGAGAAAAGAAAGGCTTGTTTCCAAGGTTCCACTCCACCTATTTCCTGTAGGGTTGGAATCCTTTCTGTTGTCATTTCTGTGTTGCTGTACATTATAAGTAATCACCAACATCTTAAATTGAAGTTGCTTCTTCAAGATTGGCCTATCTTGGAATCAGACCAGGATCAACCGTCACTTGATCTTGTTGGAATTAAACCCCTATTTGTTTCTTCCTATCTAGTCCCACACAAACCCTAACTACTCCGTCAAGATTTTTCACACTATCAGCTGCTAAGCTTAGGTGAAGATATACACAAGCACATAAATGTTCTACAGCTCTGAACTGCCTGACCACATTTCCCAGTGGCTTCATGTATCACATAGGTTTTAATATTGTCAGTCAACTGAAACTCTAAATATATTGACAACAGAAACAATTTCCTATTGCAGTATTCTAAGCTATGTAATTACCAAATTGTATTTTTTTAAAACATCTATCCCTAAAAAAACATCTGAACATAGATGATGCAGCCCTTACCCTGCATGTGAATTTTTTTGGTCTGTGAATAATTTCTCCATTATTATCCATGATTTCTAAGCTTCCACTTTCACTAGAGTTTTCAGAAGAATCGTCTCCTTCCATAACACGTTCTGGGACAGCACCAGTGACACGCATCACTTCAACATGCAGACGGCCTACCACCTGTATTATAAAAACAGTATCTTGTTAAAGAGATCCCTAACATCTAATATCAAAAATGCAGATGAGATACACACACACACACACACAAAATTTATATATCATACAACTGTATCTTCAGCAACTAAAAAAAGAAAAAATACATATCTAATATGTTCAAGTTTGACACACTAGTCTTCTTAAACAACATTGATAAACTAATACTACAAAGATTTCTATGTATGGAAATGACCTTGGAAGAGGAGGAAGTCCCATATATCCTCACAGTATATCATTGTATACCCAATTTCAGTGTATTTAAACCTAATATTAATTTACATATTCCAAAATAAATAATTATTTTGAAAATCATTTTGTATAGATATTGTTCTTTCACTGATATGGCCTTTAAATTAAACACACTAGAACTCTGTGTGCAGAAACTATTTGTCAGCATATGAAACTTAGTTGTTCTCCATATGTCCCACAGATGTCCTGTTGATTTGTGGATATCAACGGATGATTTTTCTTTCCATCAGGCTTTTTCACTCCGCAGATCAACAATGTAGTGTGTCTGGCATTTTTTCCTTTAAGCCACATCCTTTGCCTTTTCCAACCCTTTGCTAATAGAGACTGCAAACAGCACCACCACCACCAAATAAACAAAGAGAAAAACAGGAATACAGCAGATGGCAATTCCAACTGTGCTATACATAACATGAGCCATTATTTGCAATTCATTCATTCAGTCAAAGCAGTCATTCACAGGATGTATATGGCTGCCTATCTCATATAATGGTTCCGGGTGGCTCATAACCATCAATAAAACAAAGACACAGACCAGAAGTACCCTTTTCCCTAGACACCAGACCAAACAAGCCTCCCCTCAAAAACCTCATCCTAGCTCAATGCTTGGGGGAAGAGCCAAGTCTTCAAGGCGCCCCAGAAAGCTGAAAGGGCAGGAATGTACATGTATAACAAAGATACTCCTTTCACAAACTAAGTGCAATATTTATTATGGATTAAGCCTCACCTCTCCTTGTTGACTAATTATTGGTAATGCATACTGAAGCTTAACATCACAGAAAAGGCACTCCAAAAAGACGTTTGCTACGCCAATTAAATTGTGATTTTCTTGGGCTTCATAGAAAGGGTCGCCTCTTTTTCCCGTGAGTCTTTTCATCTATTTTTTTTTTTAAAGGAAGATATGAATTTCAAAGGCATGAAGGGTTTACCAGAATGATTCAACATGGAAATGATAAGCTATATTTTGAAATATCTATCGTTTATTGTAAACAATTACATTATTTTCATTTTATCGTTATTCATTGCAATAATTATATTATGTATCACAGCAGAAATATACATATTATTTGCACCAAAATTTACATCAGTTAAAAAAAATTTTTAAGGACCAACAGTTTATTTATCTTTAAAACATAAATAATATAAAGACTTCAAACCATCTCTATTCTCTCCCAAATACAGAACACAATGTAGTAATTAGGATCATTTTAACTGTCAGCATAGAAATGTAAATGTAATAATAAAACATAATAATAATGCTTATTTCTTATTGTTAGGCAGGCAATTTATCTTATAATGCCCAACAAAAAACAGTGATATTTCAGAGTACTAACCATGTGATATAGGTAGCATACTGAACCAGACCAGTGATGGTGAACCCTTTGGCCACAATGTGTCAAAAATTTTGAAAATATCTAATTTGAGTCTATTGGGGTATCACCCCTCCCTCCCCAAAAAGGAGGAACAATTATCTCCTCCTCATGCGCTATTTGGGCCACCCTGAACAGCGACACTGAGGAGCAAGGACAGAAGCTGGGCCTGAAGTCAAAGGCCCGGGCCTTGACTTCAGCTCTAGTGACACCACTCCCACTCAAAAAGGCACCTCATGCAATTCCACAAGGTATATGAGTTTTGTGGAACGATATGATTGTTCCCCAGGATCAGCTGCATGCTGTCCGAGCTGTCTCCAGGATCTGCTGCATGCCCCTTTGCAGGAAGTGTTCTCTTTATGGTGATTGACACTTGGCCCTATCTGAGGATGCCCAGGTTGCAGATGGCCTTTGCCCTTGAAGAAACTTCAGAGGATGCTCTTCTGCTGCCTCGGCAACCTCTGAAAACCACCTGAAAGGAGGCTCCATTCTTGTGGAACTTTCAGAGTTACACAAGACCGTATTTCACTCTCATGTAGCCACTACAGCTTCCGAAAATCATGAGAATGTTGTGTGCTTTTGAAATTAGTTGTTTTCAGGTATCACATCACTCAAAACATAGAGGTGCAAGTCACCTTTGATAAGCATGTCATAGGTTTGCCATCACTGGTTTAGAATAAACTAACATAAAAATGAATGAGGTAAATGGGAGTCTACAGGGGGCTTTGTGCAAGCATACTTTTATAAATCACATATTAGAAAAATAGTTAAATACCTCCTGAAATTTCTCTTTCCATTCTTGATATAATTCTCTCATATCAATTAATTTGTTTTCTAGCTTTTCAATGGTCCACACCTGAGTGCTTTTTCCTTTTCTTTTTACCTGAATAGCTGGTTCACTGACAATTGCTCCTCTCTGAATAAACACAAACATTTTATTTACAGTATTTATTCAAAGTGCGTACTTCCAAAATCTGCCAAGGTATTCTGGTGTTGTAAAATCATGAATCAACACGGAAAACATCCTCAATAAGAAAATAATACATTATTATGTTGATTAATGTTGATCAAATTGTTTATATTTAATAATGTAACATTACCATAATAGCAAAACATTTAATAACAATGTAACATTAATACTTAAAATTAATTTATTAAAACATGAAAGTTCAGTGGCAAAAGCATTTTAAAAATACGTATATCTCTCAGATGCTCAACATACATTTCTTTCTCTTTTTATATTTGAAGGAATATATTTGAGAATTTTTCAAAATTAATCACATGGAACTACTGCAATTAAATGTAGTTTTAAGATTTCATGCATGAATACAAATCGCCCTTACTGAATGTATTGCAATCAACAAAGAATCCTTTATTTTGGCATAATCTTTCATGGTTACATCCACTTCACTGAATACATCACAGTCAGCTATTTGTTAGGGGAGCTGAACATGCGGGCAAAGTACCACAGAGTTTTCTAACAGTCTTTTTTGTATGACCATACCAGAATATATCTGCATGTGAAAAGTGGCATGGAAAAGGAAAGCTTTTATCTCATTTTATGTTAAGATTCTATGTTCTGAGTATTCCAGACATATTCATTAATGGAAGTGGTCTGTGCTCTCACTGTATATACAAGTCTTATCAAATGTGAACTAATAAAACATAATGATCATTAGTTTAATTTTGTGCAATTGTGATTACCCATGGATACTTCAGTACTTCAGTGCAGTACATGTATTAATCTCTATTTATATTGATTTGTACAGGTTACAGAGACAAAAATGAAAGAAGCTGCTTATTCTGGGTGTATAACTGTTCTCATTCTATCCACTTCCTGCACAAAATCAGCCTCTAAATTTTATCTTGAATGCTAAATGATTGTGGACTTTTGGACATGTTATATAAAACTATTTTATATAAGTAGTAAATTTTCTTACTTTTCTGTTGGCATTCAAGTTAGCAGCAGGGATCTGAAGTGTGACTTGATAATCTGTTAGCTTGCTCATTTCTTCAGCTAAAAAGTTCGCTTCCCTTACTAATGCATTGGCTTTAACTATTTGTTCTCTTAGTTTTGCCAAGCTTTGTCGAAATAATTCATCTCTACAAGGGAAACAAGACATAAATATATCAAAAAATGTAATTTAGAAACCCAGTTTCTAAACATTATTTAAAATACTATTGAGGAGACTAGTACATTATTTTTAATACATTCTCCATGAAAAAGCATGAATTTAATCACCAGATGTAGAGTTCTGATGAAAATTAGAATAATCATGCATCCGGAAAGCATAATAGTACTAACATTAATATATGCAGCATTAATAATTAAAATTCAAATAAATTGCATAAATTACTGTGTTTTTCGGAGTATAAGACACACCGGAGTATAAGATGCACCAAGATTTTGAAGAGGCAAAATAAAATAAGAATTTTGTATCCCACAGACCTCCCAAAAACGGCCTATTTTTTTTTTTCAAAAAAGGGCATGAATAGCCTTTAGGAGGCTTGTAGAGTGCTCCTGGGGGGTGGGGGCCGAATGCGAGCAAAAAATGGCCCTTTTTTTGTGAAAACGGGTCCATTTTTTGTGAAAATGGGTCCGCTTTTGTCCAAAAAAAGGGCATGTGTAGCCTTTAGGAGGCTTATAGAATGCTCCTGCAGGCTGGGAGGGGGGCAAAATTGATCAAAAAATGGCCCATTTTTCACTCATTTCTGCCCTCCCCAGCCCCCAGAAGCACTGCATGGTCATTTTGGTGAAGGGGGCGAGGTTTTGGTAGGCAAAAATGCTGTATTCAGTGTATAAGACACACCCAGATTTTCAGTCTCTTTTTTGAGGGAAAAGGGTGCGTCTTATACTCTGAAAAATATGGTAATATATTTTTACAGATGTTTTAAGAGACAGTATTTACAACTACATTTTCCTGAAAGCTGGAATTTAAATTATTTGATTTATGGGACCAAACTTAAACCACGCAATATTGTCTACAGACTCTATATTTTATTATTTTACAAATAACACATGAACAAAGGTTCAGGGCAAACTAGAGCCTCCTGATAAAATCAAGAGCATTTTCTATTTTTAAACAAATATTTAATCTGTTTTTATTCAATGATTTCAAACAAGAGAAGTCTCTCCAAATTATACCACAAACCAGGATAAAATATTTTAAACGTTAGTATGTGATGGCCACATGGTACAGTCGGCCAATTCCAAACATGTTTTAAAAAGGCAACTGGTCTTTTTCTTGGGAGATGTTTTACTTCTCATCCAAGAAGCTTCTTCAGTTTCAAGAAACATCAAGAAAGTTCAGTTGCCTTTTTTTAAAGCACTTTCGGGACAACCATGACCTGAATTATTGAGAACCTCCAAAGACATACAATAGGCCTAACTCAGCACCATTCAAAGGTATGATGACTCTAAACAAGAGCACTTATAATCATTCCTCACAGTTGCAACCATCACAACATCCTGCCGTCACAGGATTGTGATTCAGGCACTTGGCAGCCAGCCCTCAATTATCATGTGATCATGTGATCATGGCCATTTGTGATCTTCCAGCTTTCAATAAGCAAAGTCAATGGGGAAGCTGGCAGAAGGTCACAAATGGTGACTACATGACTACAGGATGCCGAAATTCTTCGAGATTTGCCTAATGATAGCAAGGGAATTGCTGCAACTGTTTTGGTAAATCAATGCGATCAGGTGACATCACATTTTATGACCATGTTGCTGAGCGACAGGATGGCTAATCCCAATTACCATTATTAAACAAGGGCTGTTAGAATGATTCAAGGCAGGTACAGCCTCTTAGTAAACTGGATTACACAATATTTAAAGAGATCACGCCAAAAAAATATATCCCCCAGTTCAATGCACAGAGGGCCTCACAGACACAGCATACGAAAAAATTAATTGCCACAGATTTGAGCAACAAATTAAGTAGATAACCTTTCATATCACTATTGATTCAAAATGATTTCAAGTCTTTTTTTTTTGTCCTCCAGCGCAATCTCTCGGTTACTTAAAAACCAATATTCTTACCTTTCTTCTGACCAGAGGTTTATCTTCTGCTGAACAGTCTGGGTACCATCTGAAAGGCTGCCATCACACTGCTGATAACGCCTCTCTGGAGAAAGCTGTTGCCTGAGCTGTTCCAGCTCCCGCTCATACATTATCCGCTGCTCTTCCAAAGCACTACGTTTTTCTTCCAAATATTGTTTCTCCAATACCTGGACCACATTTTGCAATGGATCTAGACAGAAATGAATCCACGCCATTTTAGAAATTACTTCCTGTGGGAATGCTTAATCTAATGTTATCACTTTCTGAAAATCCCCCTAGGCTTCACCACAATATGCACTCATCTGATTAAAATACTCATCCCTATATGCATTTTGCATAGTTTGGCTCTGATATTACTTAACATGGAACATTTTCATACATTCTTATAGCTACAATGTTTTAAAGTGGAATAAAGGACATGACACCCCTCCCCCCCCCAAAAAAAGTAGTATATATTCTAGAAAAATGCACAAGACAGACTCAATTTCAAAGATTAAATCCCATAAATTTTCAGGAAATATAATTAGGTTCCATCTATCAGGGGAAAAAAAATAACCTTGGGAAAAAGTACTTCAAATTTTCTATTAGAACATCTACTTACAGAAAATCACTATAATCACAGATTGTCTCTTTTTTCTTATTTATCAAGACAAACCAAAAATCTGTTTATTCCTGTTTGGTTATCAGCATCCTTGAACACCATTTTCTCACCATTGCTGTTTAGCATTTTCATTATAACTTCCATTTGTGCAAATTCATAGTTATAGTCTGGTTCTGAAGAAGCTTCGCTGGCTGCATCTAAATCCAGTTCTGTTTCATGTTCTTTTTCTTTTTCAGAGTCTTTAAAGCAATCTCGACGCTTTCTCTTAGGAAGATTAATTCTATGTGAAAAATAAAAAGGTATAAAATTGCCAACATGATTTTTAAATAAACTTATATGAAGGAACTGGGGACAGCAGGAACAGACGTACTTGCTCCAGAACACAGGAAGCAAAACATGCGATTATAGTCCTTGCTCATCCTATGAAATGTGAATACAAAAGTATACTGCTAGCTGCCCATCAAGCCTTGAAATGTCACTAAATGGTTGCTATGGAGGATCATTATGGAAGACAGCCTTGCACTAGAAGCAGGAAGCCAGGTTGTATTATAGTAGAGATTCTTAGATCATGGAAAATTACTCTTCAAGGAGATACCCAAGGAGTACCCTGGGGATAACGGAAAAATTTATAGTTTCTTGTGAGTCAAGGATCCAGTTTGGAACTGTTACTTCGGAGATATTTATATAAAGCAAAAGCCCCTAGGTTTTTTTGTGGGGATAATGTTATTATTTAATCTCTGAAAGGGGGTAATTGGGTCAAACATTCTAAAAACCACTGTGTTGAAGTGTCAGTCTTCCTACAACCAATGGATTAAAAGCTGATAACCAATCTAACTGAATTTAGATTAAATTAATTTCAAATTCTTTTCTATATAGTTGTCAGAGTTATAAAATAGCTTAGAAAATATCAAGTGGGCTGAATAAAATCCTAGAAATAGTTGCTGGAGCTTATATACTGTACCACTATCTCAAACTCAGAAAAATTAATTCTAAACTTTCAAATGTAGTAACTTTGAAATTAATGCTATTTAGAATTATCCTTTGCAAGCAAAGCAAAACCATTCACTTGTATATTATCTATATAAATAAGGTAAACTAAACAAAATATTGACCTTGACGGTGGTTTCATGGACAAGTCCACGTTATTTTTCTTCACAGGAAAAATACGTGCTTTGCTGCTATCTTCTTCAGGGATGCTTTTTGGACTTCAAAGTCTGGCCTTTGGTATTCTTAGGGATCTCTCATCAGTGCAAAGTACAATCCCGTTGCCCTCATGCTTAACTTTATGACATCAGAAAAGGGTTGGCTAGGTATTGCTTTGCTGCCCAGTATTACAACTGAACTACTATGGAACATTAAAAACAAGTACCTAAAAAAGTGGTTGTTCCCCCATAAGATTCTATCTCCGTGCCACAGCTGAGTCACGGAACATATCAGTGTGCCATTCACGCATGATCTGAAAAATAAAACAGGTTTATAAGACTAAAATCACTCTTCATATTCAAGTTCCCACACTCTAGTGTGGATAGTACTTCAACAAAGTCCAGTCTACTAGGGCAGTGTTTGTCAACCTTGTCAACTTGAAGATGTCTGGACTTCAACTCTCAGAATTCCCCAGCCAGCATTTGCTGGCTGGGGAATTCTGGGAGTTGAAGTCCAGACATCTTCAAGTTGACAAGGTTGACAAACACTGTACTAGGGAATTATTCTAGTCTGTAAGATCAAGCAGGATGAGTAAGCACTAGATATTTGTTCCCTCTTTCTATGGGAGAAACAGAAAGCTTGGTTATGTCTCTTCCCTCTTTTGTCCTTTAGTGAAAGAGTGTATAATCACTGCCGTTTTGGCTGTGAATCTGCCCTCATTCCCCAACAATCTGGGAAGGGTTCCAAATGTCCCCTTAGACAGGCTATATTTAGTAAGTGCTGAATTGACCAGCCATTTCAAATCACTGCTGGGTCACTATGATATTAAACTAAATTGATGCAGCTCACTGCTTGACAGGCTAAATACAATTATGTGGCCATTAAATGTAATGGAATACAGAAGTTACAAATCTCTCACTTCCCTAGTGTCTTTGTAGGCTGCCTGCCCCAAGACTTCATCCAAGTGATTTGATTTGATGCTAGAATAGCTTACACTCAACCCAGAAAAGCTGCTTGTAGCATGTATGGTAGAAGCAAAGAGAAAAATAAAAAGCTGAAAATCAGAAAACTGCTTAGCTCATCTGGTGAGCCACACAAGGGGTGGAAATGAGTGGGTAAGGAGAATTTGCGTAAACTTCCTAGAAAATATCTTAACCAGGACATCCCTGAACTTCAATATCTCTGCTCTTCTGGAAAGTGTATAGAGAGCTCTTTCTAAGCCACCCCAAAGTGAAGGTTGCAATGGAGTGGAGATAGGGATTTCTGCACATGCTTGGGGGGCAGAATTGGTGTGTGGCTGTATAAACAAACAAGGGCAGTCCTGAAGAGAAAAATGATTTGACTCTTGCACATACAGGTGACCAGTTGGAAGGTATAAATTATGGCCTTACACACCCCATAGTAGAATCATACGATACTTCTCCATTAGACCACCCAACTCCCCATTGAAATGAGACCTATAAAGTCATGAGAAACTCATGCTGCAGATGCTCCATCTGAATCTGATTGTTGGTGGCTGATTGTATGAAGTTCTACTGAGGTCTTATAATTACAACTAGAATTACTTGATAATGAGCAGCCCTCATCAAAGGCTACCATTTTATCCCTTACTAACTTTCACTACTGGTATCTTTCTGTATTTTACAACATTTTGCAAACTAATGAGACAGAATTTTTAATAGCTTGTATATTCCAGTTTTGGGAGCATATTAATAGGTTACTCATTTTCTTAACTAAATACAAACATGAATAAAATAAAAATAGTAACTTTGTGTTCAGTGTTAAATCATCAAAGATTTTATTAAGACTTCAATTCTTCCTGACAATAACATATTTGCCTGCAGTACATCCCTGCTATAAAAAAAATGGGGAAATAGCCAATGCAGTGCATGTATTTAAGTAACTGGGTCACAGGCTGTTTACTGCAAGCCATCTGCAGAAACCTAGTTTAAATCTCCTTAATGAGACATTTACTTAAATCACTTCAACTAATATGAATTCTTCTAATATGCGGTTATTCTGTGAAAGTAAAGTTTATTCCCTGTATAAGCTAAAAGAAATACAATATACCTTCAATTTGCAATGTAATTTTTAAAAAGTAGCTTTTGTATAATATTCTACTCTGCTCATAAACAGAGGCACATAAACCAGGAAAATAATTAATTTTCCATCTTAATTTTCTCAAGCAGATGATATTTAGGCACAATTTCGTTGTTTTGTGTCTGACAATATAAATAATCCTTAGTACTTCAACTGTAAAAAAAATCCTAATTTTAAATTCATTTTCCAATCATAAAGAACTTAATTGCTTTTTCCATGAGAATCAACAATGAACTGACTCAATTGATTGTCACTGTAATTCTGTAATGTAGTTTGTGCTTATTTAGAAATCTTGGATGAAACACAAATTAAACAAAGTTTATTTATTTATACATTTTTTCCAATGACATGCCTCTTTATTGTTGCCAGTCAAAATGACTAATTCTGCACAATGCAACTCTTATCATAACACTGAATTCCATCTGTTTGGAATATTTTTGTTGTTAAGCCTGAAACTTTCATGGTGACAAACTCAGGTCTTATACAAAACCACAGTGAAACTAATTTTTTATATATTTACATGTTTCCAAACAGCTGGCCTTCTCCAATTAAAGAGTAATAATATTTGTGTAAATTCTCTCTAAAGCAATTATACTAAAATCCTCCTGAAAAATACTTTCCTGCTTTGTTTTGGCTTTCAAAAGTGTCAAAAGTGTAACTAATGATAAATGTGTAGGGGAACACAAATCAGCACTCAATCCCAAAATTACTGATACTAATTCTGCATGATGTGAAATAAGGAGGGCTCTTAACCTCCAAACTACTTGGAACCATTAGGCACAAACTTTGTGAAATGTATGCACACTGTCAAGTTTTTTCTGAGGGAAGAAGTCAGGAACAGAAATTAGTACTAGCTAGAATAAACTGTAGCTTTCAAAGTTTAGGCAAGTTTACAAAGTCTTCCTCTCTTTGTTAATGCAAGGTCCCTTTGTTTAAATTACAAAGGCTCCCAATTTTACAGATTCCCTTACCTTGCATTTTCTTTTGGTGAGAGAGAAACTTCTCCATCTAGTGCAATGTCTATCTCACAATGTTCTGGTTGAATTCCTATCCCAAATAGCTGTATGTCCTGTGAGGTATCCGCACCAACCCTGGTGTGGTCCTGATTAAGACAAATAGAGTGAAAATAAAATCTGCTGTTTCTATCATCCCAAGTAAAGATTTATAAATTACAATGTATGTGCAATCTAGTCCAAACTCAAAATGTTTATATTTACTGTAAAATGTGAAATGGGGGATATTGCATCTTTCTACAGAGCACTGCCTTAAACTCCTTTAAGTTTCTCTTATTTAGTTCCTCCGTGCCTCATGTATACCGAGAGGAAGTATATCAGAAACAGCTCTTTTGAAATCTTTGACAATCACATGAGAAAGCTTCATATGCTAGCCTGTCATAAGGGATTCATTAAACACTAACTAGTGTATGGATGATGACTCATACTTTCAAAATACAGGTAGTCCTCAATTTATAACAATTTGTTTAGTGACTATTCCAAGTTACAATGGCACTGAAAAAGTGACTTATGACTGTTTTTCACGTTTACAACTTCTGCAGTATCCCCACGGTCATGAGATCAAAATTTGGATGCTTGGCAACTGGTTCATATTTATGCTGCTTGCAGTGCCCCACCCAGGGACAGTCAATCACTTTTTGTGACCTTCTGACAAGCAAAGTCAATGGGCAAGTTAGGTTCACTTAACAACCATTTACTAACTTAACAATTGCAGTGATTCACTTAACAACCGTGGCAAGAAGGATTGTAAAATAGAGTAAAATTCACTTTAAAATGTCTTGCTTAGCGACATAAATTTTGGGCTTAATTGTGATCTTAAGTCAAGTAATACCTGGGTGCAGTAGTCATAGTAATCTTCCTCCCCCCCTCCCCACAAATCCTGTTCGACAAACATCAATAAAAGGAAGCTTTAAAGAACTTGTAAGTGTGGATTATTATTGTTTTTTTACCTTTAAATAATAAAGCAACAATTCATTGAGAGCAGGATCTGCATTTAAATTCACCAGATAACATTTGTCTTCTCCCATCTTGATGCCTGAAGATTCAAGAGAAATGCCCATGCTCTCTAATTGCTTTTGTCTTTCCTGTAAAATTCATAGAAAGTTTGAAGTAATAGCTGTTAATTATATTCACAACTATGAACTTAATTATTATAAACTGTGTCCAAAAAATTGCAAGTATACTTGCTAATACTTCTCTATAAATACCTACGCCACAGTTCATGCAATACAGTGTTGGGTATTGAGTAAGATACTGTATTAATTTGCCATTCGAGCAGAACCATTTTTGGTATAGTGTTCAATTATCACACACCCGCACACCCAATTTCACTATGAGCAGAATCACTGTTCTTCAGTAAGAGATAGAGAAGAACAGCAAATGTGGAGAAACTAAAAGTGCTCAGATTTCCTTGAAGAACCTGTACAGATACTAATTTTAATATAATGTAGAATGAACAGTTGCATTTTTCTGTTATAATGAGAAATACTTGCCTTCAAAATGCTGTGACTACCTACAACATATATAAGATTCAAAGTCTCTTCAACCCCAGCACTGTGTAGTGGCTCTATAATATTATTACAAAAATTAAAAATATGTTGTACCTGGAGCATGTTTAGGAATACAAATGTAGGCCAATTCATTTAAGTACTAAATGCATAAATACCTGTGCAATTTCTTCAGTTTTTCTTAATTTCTCTTCCCAGGTAATGGTGAGTTCTTTTATTAGTTTTTCAGATTCCTCCAATTTTTCCTTTAATTCTGGTGCTTTCATAGACTTTAATATTCAAAACACACTTGTTACAATTTTCTCAAAATTCCAGAATGGTTTATACAAAATATTTTCATTTCAAAATTATAATTAAACAAATTGGAAAATAGAGAACACAGATCAAATCACTCTCTTAGGGTATATTTGTAAACTGCAGACAATATTCTTCATTCTCCTTCATAGAATCATAGAATCAATACTGAATTACATTTCTCTCTTTCTTTTCCATTAGAACAGGGGTGTGAAACTCAAGGCTTGGGGGGCCAGATTCGGCCTGGGAGATGTCTAGATCTGGCCCGCAGGGCTGCCCTAAAAACAGCAAAGGACCTGCCTGCAATTTCTCTGCCAGTGAAAATGGAGCTCGGGGGTGTGTGTGTGCTGCAGGAGGCCATTGCAGCCAAAAACACAGAGCTCAGGATCCCGTTTTCGCTGGCAGAATCCTTGGGCCACCACAGGCATCCCCAACATGAGTGACATTGAGCTGGCCACATCCATCCTGCCCACACCCAACCCCGGCTCCCTGAGGTCAAACACAACCTTGATGCACCCCTCAATGAAATCAAGTTTGACACCCCTGCACTAGAACCGCAATCTTCAACCAAACCCTTTTCCGATACAAAGTTTACAAAAAAACTCCAAATAATTAATCTTATCTAAATAAATTTCAGAATGAAAATGCATTTGTCTTTTTCTCTTATTTCCATTTTACTCATTTTATATACAAATTACTGAACAAAACTAATTTTTTATCTGTTTTACCTCTGCCTGAGAAAGTTGCTCTCTCAGCTTCTCTACTTCTTCCCGTAGTTCTCGGATAACCCTAGCATTGGGATCCTCATTCACTATAGCATGATTTACTATCCTTTTAGCTCTATCTGCGTATCTCAACGTAGACAATGTTTCTTCATAATTATCAGCTGCTGGACTGATTGTAGCTATCATAGCTGTTTGGCTGTTTCCTCCCAAATTGTCCTAAAAGGATTATTAGGGAATAGATAAAATGTGTAAAACAAAATTATTCTTACGGCTGAAATATATTATTTCTTCTTAACAGATGCCATTTTAAAATCTATTTTGATTGTTATTGATCCTCTTACCCTTAGACATTTTTAACATTCAGCATTAAAAATGACTACGTAAAAATTAGAATAACAAGTTTTGTTGCAAAGGTCATAAAGGAAAAAAAAACAAACCCCTGAAGAGATCTTATTGCAGTATTACTCATTTTTACTAAATATGCTCATTTTACTAAATACTAGCGATTTTTACTAAGTATACCTATGTGCAAGGTTATTTGAGGGCAATAAATTATCTCGCCATTTTTAAATAGGAATAGAATATTGTTATTCTATTCTTATAGTTTACCTTGAGAAGCCAAGTGAGTACAGAATCTCGGTAAGGCACAAATTTATTTTTCCCCTTTCCTGCTGCTTGGTCTGCAAGGGATGAAATAACCAAACCTAGTGTTGAAAGGGACCTAAGAAAATAGCAAATGTGATCAGTTTGAGCATGTGCCTACGATTCAGAAAAATGTATACAATTAACAATGCCTTAGTCTAAAAAAGCAGACTGAACATATGTAATAAACTTTTTGAAGAGGAACAGGAATCTGTAGAAGCATAAGACATTACTCATACATGCAAGTTTAAGACTTCTTCATAACAAAAATAAATATCCAAATGAATCTGTTTTAGAATCAATTATTTAAAGACTTTAAGTGTAGCAATGTTATGAATTATTGACAAATATGATGAGTTTTGGTATAGTGTGATGTCCAATGTTTATTTGTAATTTAAATTGTGTCACATAGCATGCATACAATAAGAAAAAAAAATCCTTTGTAGTGTAACAACACCAGTCACATTATAAAAATGCCTTTTTAAGACTTCACATTTTGTTCTCCTTTTTTGCCCAAGTAAAACTTTGTTATATGTAATGTAAAGCTTAACAACGCTAATACATTCCTGTACACATAAGCGTGTCATAGAACAGAGGAAAGACACATCATACACTGGAATGCATAGCCTTTCAAATACATATGGAAAGCATTAGTATTTGTGATTCTTGAACTAGTTCTGACTTTTTCAGGGAGGGAATTGGAACAATGACAGAGAATTAAAATAACAAGGTATCTTGGGATATCGTGAGACACACTACACAATTAACAAATCCCTGGGTCTGAAATGCCATCCACCTGAGAATCCTTAATGGAGAGAGAGTTAAGAAATAGGGTAAGCAGTGATCTGTCCAAGTCCCTATGCTTAGAACAGTTTTAGTGGATGTTCAAGTCCAAACCTCTTAAAGTTGCTAAGGTTGAGAAACCTGGCTCTAGAATGCCACTGAGAGAAGATGAAGAATAGATGAGGCAAGCAACTCAGCGGCAGCCTCCAGATAGAGGAACAAAACTGCAACTCCTGATGCCCCAAGACATGCCGAGAGACAGAGGGGAAAGAAAGGAGAAGGAAAAGTGACCAGATTCTGCAAAAGAAAGAGCTCATTGTGGCTCCCTCTTATGGCCGATTGAGGGAAACAGCAACCAATCACATTTTACAGCATGGTTTAAAGAAACAGGTACAGCATTGTTATATGATTTATATATTGCCAACCCAACCGTTAGATTATATTCCTAACAAAGCCCATTAGGTGCAACGACGTGGCAGGGAGCTCCACAAATCAGCTCCAGAAAGTAAGGACTCTGAGGATTGGGGGTGTGGAGAAAAAACAGCACACACTCTGCTTTTCCCTTAAGATGGTCTCCAGAATGAGTCTAGAGGCTTGGAAGACAAAACCTCTGGTCCCGGTGACTAGCCCAGATTGAATCCTGGAGAAATTTTTTTTTGTAAGTCTAGAATGGAGCAGAAAGGGTCTTCAAATGACTCTGTGACAAGAGCTGGAGGAAAGGGAAATATTTCAACAGGTAGGAAATAGTTAAGGCAGAAAGATGTATTGCTACAAACGAAGAGACAGTATGCAGCGGTAAAAAAATAATAGTTGTAATAGTGACAGGAAGTTGTTAGATTAAGATAGGTAGGAAAATAGAAACAAGCATAGAATTAGCATTTAAGAGTAGAGGTAAAATATAATAGTTTAATTTTCTATAAAGCAGCTTTTGGGGAGGAGGGTTTTGAACCCCAAACTTGCTCTTTGTGCCAGTGATCTGTAGCAGATTAAGAAAATCCTAACTGACTGGAAGCAATTTAAAACAGGGGAAATGTTTTGCCTGTCATACAGCATATAATTAGCCTGTAGTATTAAAGAAGATCTGGTAATACAGTCTTTGGAAAGATATACAAGTATACTGAAGACTATAGTTTCTGAATCCTCAACATTACCTTCAGTTGAGGGGTAGTAGTAGCCCTCAAATATCAGCTAGAATAGGAGCCCAGCACGAGAAGAGCATACACCTATTGCTTATGAGCCTCCGAAAGAAGCAAAGTAGGTAAAAATGCCCTTAGGCTAACCCAGGACAGTTATCATTATATCCTTAGAACTAAATGAATACTAAGAGCTGCTATAAATACTCAATAATTCAAGTTTAATTACTGTGGCTGACTTGAAGTACTTTCAGGTTAGATTAAAGAATAATTATGGGAAAAGGCTTTTAAAGACTTACTGTCTCATCTTGCAAAAAAAAAGGATCATAAAATCAAAATTCAAATCAAGACATACATAAGCAATTTAGAAACTCAAAGTGTTCAAGCAGTTCAGGCCTTTTGGCAAATGCAATGCTTTCACAATGCAATACTCCAATCCTATGTAGTATAAAATTGCTTTCCTGAAAAAAAAAAACCTGCATGGGCTTACTGGGACTTATTTTCAAGTAATTATGCACGGAATTATACTGTGAAAATACTTGCTTGATCAAGTTTCTGGAAAATGCCTCTTATAATGGCAGAAGCTACAAGCCTGATTAGAAACCTTATACTGATCAAAATATTGGACAGTGCTGATCCAGATAAAATGCGCCATCGTAACAAACCCAGACAAGAAGGAGAGGTTTTCATACAAGACAGGGCTGAAGAAACAGAAAACATGATCTGTGGCTATTTTCAAATTCTGCAACAATTCTAAATGTACGGTAACACTGCTCAGGGAAAAAATGAATTAAGAAGAAATAGGCACGCACGTTCAAATATATAATAAAATAGGTCTTCTAAAAAGCATATAAGAAATAATTATTTAATCAGCCATCCTCTGTTTCATTTAAAAAAGACCACAAGTACAAATAGCTTTAGTGGAATCAAATAAGACAGTTTTAAGGCAAATAAGGCAGTTTCTGGATCAGACACTTTTCTTTTGGGGAAAAAAAGTTATTTAGTTAAAACTTGTTTCTTTTATTTACTTGTTTCTGAAAAGTACATTAATTGTGTGAAGGAGTCCTTCAGTTATGATTCTTCCCATTTATTTAACAGCTATACATTTTGAAAACATGTTCCTGTACTGTTAGTTATTCTTATATTTTATAATTGTATTTTAAAACCCCTAGAAAGAATAGTTTGAAAAACTCTGTATTCATGAACCTAATTTCTCCTTCTTGCCATACCAAAAACTGCTTGGGTTGATTTCAGTGAATTTGCTTCAAGGCAGAAGGATCCTGTCTAAATTATATTTCTAGATCATCAATATAAAATAAACGCAGAAAAAAAAATTAAGACATCTACGATATAAAAATACAATTAGCATGTAGCAAAATGACCAGAAACTTGATTTGAAGGCCTTCCTATAAATGCAGCTGGAATCAATTTACTTGGATAATATAGTTTCATCAGTGCCTTACTTGTTTATGTTGCTGCCTTCCTTCAAACGTTCTCCTGCAGCTCCTGTTTTAGATACTCTCTCGCTACCAGCCAGATCAACCAGGCTAACTTTGCTCACTTTCTCTCCAGAGTTCTAAGCAGGTGGAAAAAACTTCAATTTTATTAATGGACATTACGATTTACAAAAGTAAAAACTCACAGCATTTTCTGACATGTGGAGTCCAAAAGGTTTGCCATCACAGACCTAAGATATGATTACTGACCAACACTCTTAATATTTTACATTGTCATTTATACAATTTTAGGCAAACACCACTGAAATCAACTGGATAAGATTTAAATCTTTCAACATGTTACCCAAATAATAACATATCTTTATGTTCAATTCACTTACGCCAGACTGCAGATCATAAAGTGTTTGAGTGATGATAATATTAAATACAGCATGAGAGCGGCTGCTTTCTTCGTTCATGTTGGTTGCTGCAACCGTCCGGGACTTATTTCCTTCTGACATTAGTGATTCTATATCCTGATGAATAAGATAAAACATTGGACACAATAATTTCCTTTTTCCAATTGCAACATTTGCAACTTATCATTTAAGATGTATATAAACAAATACAACTTAAAACATTATATGCATATTATATGTGTATTTTTTCACTCTTATGGAATGCCTTTCTACTCTACACTTGCTAAAGTTGCATCTACAGTACTTTCAAAAGCACGGTTAAGATCTATTCTCTGAGGCTGCTGTTCAAAATAACCCTAGAAAGATGGAGATATTTCCCTGTTTGTAAATATAATTTTATGCTGACTGGAAAGAGAGAGTTGTGTCACTTGCCCTAGGCCCTTATAATGTGCTATATAAATAAATTTAAACTCACAACACTTTTGCCTGTCCTTAATTGAACTTATAAATTATCTCCAAGTGCATATTCCAAAATAGATCAAAGAGGCCAACACAAACCCATTTCATCATTTCAGATGAAAACAATGTGTCATCCCACTTACATTAATATTAACTTCTTTTAACTGGCTCCAAGTTATTGCAACTATAGATATTTTTGTTTCCACAAGTATAGAATAAAAATTCAGTTGTACATATATGATTTGCAAAATTGTTTAATGTTTTATATACCTAATTCAAAACGTACCTCCAAAATAGCTTAGTTAACTTAAAATGTATAAATTAATATAAATTAAATTTTTTAAACAAATTTTGTTTAGTTATCAGTACATCTAAAATGTATTAGTGGCTAATGTGCTTAAATACTCATTACTGTAAATAACATATTTTCTCCTCTAATGCATATTTTCCTTGTCACATGCATATTTTTATGCAAGTGAATCTGTCTTACCACAAATAACTTTCTTAAAAATACTGTCCTTATATAAATTAGCCCCCATTGTTATTTCCTCACCCTGCAGTACAAGCATAGAAGTGCAGCTTAATTCTTCAACCCAAGAATGCCGTTATATTGACCAAATTCTTACACTTTACTTACTTCAAAGCAAGTAACAGCTAGTTGAGACAAACCATCTACATATGGACCCAAAACTTTATGCTCACGAACTTTGAGGGATTGCCGACTCCTTTGAGACAAAAATGTTGTTATAATTTAAACTTTGTTAGGAAAATGAATGAGTAAAATTAACTCATTATAGACCACTGAACATATAAATTTGTTCTCAAAAGGAAAATTCATTTAACAAAAATATAAAGGTTTATTTTCATTAAAAATATGTTCATATTTACATGGTAAAAAGATATGAAACATAAAATGAAACAATGAAATTAACACCCTCCTTGAAAAAAATCTGGTTCCTTTACAAATTTTGTAAAGGTATTAAGTAACCTTTCTAACATCTCCATAAATGTTTTTAAAAAATCCCACTGTTCCATTAAAATTGGCGCCTATATACACTTTTTAAGACAATATCTTACAACTAGCAGCCTTAATAAATAAACACTACTCACTAGAGACTCTTGGCAATTCTGCTTGAATAGTTATAGCTCTCTGTAATAAACAGGGTCAGGATTACATTACACATCCCAGCAGCAGAGATGTGACTTCAAACTGGTTTCTACAATTTAGATAAAGTGGTGGTAGAGGGGAACAAATGGAAATGCTATCAGTTAAAAAAATAGTTTCCATTCTTGTCCATATATATTTTCCCCATTAAGAAAAGTTAAGTTTAAAGATGTCATTTGTCATTTTGTCATTTTATTAAGATTTATAGGCCGCCCTTCTCCCTGAGGGGACTCAGGGTGGCTTACAATCACAGGGAAAGGGGTGCAATACCAAAAGACAAACAGTGAGTGAGCAAAATAAAATAATAAAACACAACTTGCATTCAACAGTCAACACTCGGGCGGGTAAATTA